AGCACCTACCGGGAGCAGCAAAAACTAGACCGGTACAAGACAGCAGTACTTCACAGGAGACTCCACAGCACTGAGGATGTCGCCTAGTAAGGAGACGAAACATCTGCTATCAAACCTCCCAGCTCGGCAAACACACCAACATCTATGAGCTGGTTATTGTACAGACATTTTGTCACCGTGCTCAGTAACATCATCAGTGCAACCTCCGATGAAGCGATGTTGTTTTGCTGTTGTGATGTTGTTATATGATCTGGTCTGTTAAGTTGAGTTGTGTCATTTCCAGTTCTGTTCTGCATGCATTTGTACATGGCATCTAATTCCATATGTTTGTTGATTGCATTATGGGTTGAAAACGAGGCCTCTAGGAATTCCTGTGTGTGTCTGCGTTTGGCTTGAGCTAGGGTGGTCACGTTGTCCCAGTTAAATTGATGGCTTTCATTGTCCAAGTGTACTGAGATGAGAGAAAGTTTGTTGTGTCGTTTTGCTGCTAGCTGGTGTTCGTGTATCCTGATGGCTAGTTTCCTTCCGGTCTGGTCGATGTAATGTTTGTTGCAGTCATTGCAAGGTATTTTGTAAACTACATTGGTCCTGCATGTCATGGGTATAGGATCTTTGGTCCTTGTGAGTGTTTGTCATAGTCTGGCTGTGGGTTTGTGTGCTACTATGATTCTTAGTGGTCGCAGCAGACTCGTTGTCAGTTCTGGTATGTTCTTGATATAGGGTAGTGTGGCCAGTGTATTGGGACATACTGTGTCCACTTGGCATTGTCTATCTAGTAGGCACCTGTGGATGAAATTGTTGGGATATCTGTTGTGAGCAAAGACCTTGTATAGGTGCTCTTCCTCCTTCTTGCATAGTTCTGGCGTGTTGCAGCAGGTTGTGGCCCACTTGAATAGTGTACTAACACAGCTTTGTTTGTGGATGTTAGGATGATTGCTGTGGAAATTGAGGATTTGGTCAGTGTGGGTTGCCTTCCTATATACTGTGGTTTGGAACTCCCCATTGGTCTTTCGTTCTACCCTGATGTCGAGAAATGGAAGTTGACTGTTGTCTTCCTCTTCTCTTGTAAATTTGATCCTGGTGAAAATGTTGTCGATGAGTCGGTGTGTATCTTCTAACTTGTTGTGTTAAATGATGACAAACGTGTCGTCCACGTATCGGATCCACAGTTTTGGCTGTGTGAGGGGAAGGGTAATGTGTTCCAGTCTTTGCATGACTGACTCTGCAATAAGTCCTGAGATGGGTGACCCCATAGATGTGCCATTGATTGGTTTGTATATTTGGCCGTTAAAGATGAAGTGTGTGGTGAGGCATAGGTTCAGTAGTCTGAGTATGTTGTCCTTGCTGATGGAGCTGTTCGGAGTCAGCATTTCTGCTGCATCCAGTAATGTGGCAAGAGTTTCTTTGTCTAGTGGTACATTAATGGATGTGAATAGTGTTGTGACGTCAAAGGGTACGATAATCTTGTTGTCATTGATTTTAATATTCTTTAGGTTGTTAAGGAATACCAGGGTTGAATGGATGGAGTGGGGTGATCCAGCGACCGGGTGTTTCATTCTCTGTTGTTGGTCAGTTTGTGTGTAGGTGTGCCCAGTAGGGAGACAATGGGTCTGAGGGGGATGTCTGGTTTATGTACTTTGGGTAGTCCATAGAAGAGGGGCGTGTTCGAGCCTTCTGTTTTCATTTTCATGTAGTCTGTCTCGGTTACTTGTCCTGTATTTTTTGGTCTCCTTAGCGTTTGGATGATCCTGTTTCCTAGCTGTGGTGTTGGATCTATCTTCACCTGTTGGTAAGTGTGTGTATCTGCAAGCAGTGCCTGTGCTTTCTCAACGTAGTCTAGTTTGCTCACACTGATGGTCATGCACCCTTTGTCAGCTGGTAGGATTATGATGTTTCTGCCTTTATTGAAACTTTTGAGTGCTTTTCTCTCTGGTGTGTTGAGGGTGTCACATTCATTCCTCTGGTTCAGTGTAGGGTTTATAGTTTGTCAGATGGCTTGTTGTGTTTTGTCTGTGAGTCCATTACCTTTTAGTGTAGCTTCCAGAGTGGCCATGAAATCTGTTCTGTTCGCATCTCTGTGGTTATAGTTTAGTCCGGGCATTAGGGCAGCTTTCTCGGTTTCGGTAAGTGGTCTGCTGGATAGGTTCCTCATCCATGAGCCTGGTTTGTTGTTATCCTTGTTGTTGTGGTGGATCAGTTTGGTCAGTTTCTCCTGTAGTGTGTGTTTCTTTTTTGTTCTGGTCCTGTATTGTTTGATGATGATGGCCTGTTCCAGGGTTGTAGTCCATTGCTGGTCCGTAGTGTTTTGGTATCATGATTTTTGGCGTGAAAGTTCTCACTTGTACTTGTAGAGCTAGTTACGCGCATCATTGATCATTACCCGTAGCATTCTCCAGCTATTTTGTTCAGCTGTTTTGTGTGCCAGTGTGTTGTTGAGTGGAAGTTTGTACTTAACGCTGTGGGGCAGTACCTGGTTCCTGAGGCATTTGTGGAGAAAGTGGAGTTGTTCACAGGTAGCGCTCAGTCAGTTGGCGAAGGTTTCCCATTGTCAGACTTCTTTGATCATGTCGCGCCCGTGGGTGTTTAAGATTCTTGTGAAGCTTTGTAGCTCGGGTTATGGACGAGGTTGTTGGCTTGTTCACCAAGTTGGCTGTTATCATACAGACATTTTGTCATCATACTGGGTAGACACATTGACCAAATCCTCAATTTCCACAGTAATCACCCCAACATTCACAAACAAAGCTGTGTTAGGACACTATTCAAATGAATCACCACTCATTGCAACATGATAGAACCATGCAAGAAGGAGGAAGAGCACCTATACAAGGTCTTTGTTAACAACGGATATCCCAACAACTTCATCCACAGGTGCCTACTAGAAAGACAATGCCAAGAGGATACAGTATGCCCCAGTACACTGGCCACACTACCCTACATCAAGAACATATCAGAACTGACAAGGAGATTCCTGCGACCACCAGGAATCATGGTAGCACACAAACCCACAGCCATACTATGACAAACACTCACAAGGACCAAAGATCCTATACCCATGACATGCAGGACCAATGTAGTTTACAAAATACCTTGCAATGACTGCAATAAACATTACATTGGCCAGACCGGAAGGAAACTAGCCATCAGGATACATGAACACCAGCTCGCAGCAAAATAACACGACAAACTTTCCCTCATCTCACTACACTTTGACAATGAAGGCCATCAATTTAACTGGGACAACATGACCATCCTAGCTCAAGCCAACCACAGACATGAACAGGAATTCCTACAGGCCTCGTTTTCAAGCCGTAATGCAATCAACAAACATGTGGAATTACATCCCATGTTCAACTGCATGCAGAACAGAACCGGAAATGACATAACCCAACTTAACAGACCGGATCACTTCATTGGAAGCCGTACTGATGATGTTACCGAGCATGGTGATGAAACATCTGTACAATAACCAGCCAGCTCGGTGGGCAAGCCAAAAACCTCAGTTGTGTTCAGTTTTGGGAGCTAAAAATAAGTATGGCAGAGATAACAGATAAGAAATTAAGAATATGAGAAAAAGGAGCAGGAGTAGGCCATCTGGCCTGTTAAGCCTGCTCCATCATTCAGTAAGATCTCAGCTGCTCTTATCTGCCCGCTCACCACTTACAGCTGTGTAAAGCATTCAGTATCTGCAAAAGTTAACTGACATCACAAGATAAATACTCAGGGCATAAATGACTGTTAGGGTTCTTGTGGTTCAATAAAAGTGTCTCCATCTCTAAGCTAGAAGGCCTGGGTTCAAGTCCAACCTGTTCCAGAGGTGTGACATAATATATCTGAAAAGATTCACTGAAAGTAACCATAAAGGGCTGTTCCTCGGAGGAGCTAGAGAGTTGCAAAGAGTTCTCCTTTTACCAGTTGTGTGCTCTTAGATTGAGCCTGCTGTCTCACAAGAGATAACCATGTATGTAAGATGAAACTATCTGTGATGTAATAAGCTATTACTATTTGATGCAAACATGGCTAAGCTTCTGCCTAAGACACCAGTCCTCCCACAATGGTATCAGTAGCTAGAATAATGCCACCAAGAAGTATGCGTGGCAGTGCATCTACTCAAGATAGTTCTGGCACCAGTGTACATTCTCCTCCACCACCCCCACCACCCCACCATGCTGGCAACCGTGACAGTGAAGTTTACAAAACTTGCTCGCAGGTTTTTGACTTATTAGGAAAGACCAGAGCAACTTTGGTTGATATGTCTGGAAGAAAAGGGAAACCAAGGTCGCAGATACTAAATGGTATGCAAAATATGAATGCAGAGTGCATTGGAGTAGCTAGCACGGGTTTAAACTATAAATGTTCTGACTGCTGCCAGGAGGTTCAGAGATCAGAAGATCATGTTGCTCGAAAAGGGAACACTGGCCATCGTTTGGGAAGCAGCTTAGGTGCGGCAGTGGAAGGATGGATTAAAATGAGGAGTTTTGTCGCCGGTGGTGGAGGGGGTGGGGAATGTGGCCTGAATTGAAAGACTACAGCTCCCAGGCTGCCTGGTAGGCGGCGGCAGAGGGAGGGAGCATGCGCCGGGAGCCTGGGCACGACTCCCCGGGCAGAGTGCGGGCATTGGGCGGCGGGGGGCTGCGGCTGCGGGGGAGGCGGGTCCAGCTCAGCTCCGCTCCGCTCCGCACCGCAAGGACAGTGCTGCGAGCGGGCAGCGCCGTCAGATGGGCAAAGGGACCGCTGCTCCTCAGCATACAAAACCACCCCCAGAAAGATGCTGAACAGCCGGGGAGGGATCGTTCGCGTTTAGTCGAAGGTGGGAAATAGAAATTTTTTTTTTGGGAGGTGGGTGGGGGGGGGG